CCGTGAAACAAAATCATATGACGATGAATATAGTGCAGGACATGTATCATTAGTTTATTGTCTTCTGAAATAAACATGAACAATTGATTGTCGTACTTGGATCAGAGGCACACAAACACTATCATCAATTTACTCAAATAGAGCTGGAGGCACATCATCTGAAAGAATATTTTTATCTGTTTGCTCAGTAAAGAAATCTGGTGAGAAACTATAGATGAATCACTCATCGTCTACCATCTGACTTGTAGACTTGAACGATGAAGAGAAGAACGGTATATTCTCAGAAAAAACCATATCAATTGATACCAAATATTTATTGAGATCTAAAAAGTAGCACATGTATCCTTTCTAAAGGCGAAAATATCTAAAAAATACACACTTTAAGGCATTTGAATCCAATTTTATCACACTAAATCACACATTTCGAACATAATAGGTGTTCGAAAAAAGAATATAGGCTGCACTGGATATAAAAACTTGTTTGAAAAAAAAATACTGTAATGAACATCCCCATCAAACACTATAAATGACATACGATTAATTAAGAAACAAGCTATGAAAACGACATCAGTCCAGAATTGTTTAAGGACTTATGTTTGGAACAAAAGGGTTTGATCTGTTTCAAGTAAATATATGTTCTTCCTTTCAGCGACCCCATTTTGAGATGGTGTATCGATACACGAGAATTGGCGAAGGATCCTGTGTTGAGTCATATAGTTTTGAAATGAATCTGACATATATTTCTTGACATTATTACTTCTCAATACATGTATACAAACATTGAATTGTTTATTGACTTCAGCACAAGAAGCACAAAAGTGAAAAAATACTTTCGAACGATTTTTCATAAAATATATCTAAATCATTTGAGAAAAATCATCTATAAAAGTAACGAAATATTTGAACCCAGTTTTGTACGAAAAAGAACAAGGACCCTAAACATTTAAATGAACTAACTCAAAAGCATATTCAACTCGTCTATTAACTTTTGGACCTGATGAACTACGATGATGTTTTGCAAATCAACATGACTCACAATCTAGCGAGGGTACATCATGAAACTAAAGATATAACTTCTTCAACACAGGTAGAGAATGATGTCCCAATTGACAATCTGCTTCAAATTGAGATCTAACGCTAGAGCAGACAACTGATCGAAGTACCCAAGTATCAAGAATATAAAGATTATTTTATATATTTCATTTACTAATAATCTGTTTTATATAAGATCTTGAAGAATACAGTGATAAGCAAAAAATGTACTATAACAATTTAAATCTTTGGTAAACTTACTCACATAAATCATATTGAATGCAAGTTTAGGTAGACTTAATACAGATGACAGAGTAATAGATGATATTGATTTTGTGGTCTCCGAATCTATAATATTATAGATCAACCCATCAGTAATAATTATAGGAAAATGTACTTTATGTGATCGAAAATTAAAAAAAATATTAAAATTACTTGTCATGTGATCTGCAGCACTAGAATCAATTACCCATCTGTTCAAGGAGAGAAGATATTTTTTTTCTAATTCAGTAAGAGCAGAAAATTTATTCAAAGATTTCTGATACTGAGTGAACTTAACATACTCGTCAACTGAAATCATAACAGCTCTCTCAGAAGATAAGTTAATAGTAGTAGCAACAATATTAGTGTTTATGTCATCCGATTGAAATTCTGCAATTTTTTATAGTACCGCTTTATATATTCTTATTCACAGGGAAATCGAGAGTACCCTCGCGAGCATCAATCCCCCAAAAGCAGGAAAATTCTCCGCAGAGCAGCAGGCAGCATTTTTAGATCGAGCCATGACTCACTTTAACCACAAGGTGAAAATAAGAAAGTAGTTGCAATTCATTTACCCCATAGATCCATGGGAAAAGTCAAGATCTATCCGGGAGTGAATCTTTATCGGAAGAAGCGGGAATAACGAAATTGGACCTCGAGAAAGTCAACCAGAGACTTTGAGAAGTTGAAGTTCAGTTGGAATCCATCTAATCTAGTAGCTTTTGACTATGAACACCCCCCTTACTTTTGATAGATAGCTTATTAGATTGAAGAATTTCTTTTATGCCACAGAGACTCTTTCAAATCTTTGATGGAATGTTGCTATATGTTGTTGGCTCGATAAGATGGATAAGTGTGAGAACAATATCAGTAATAACAGACAATATTATCATCTATTTCAATTCAGGAATTACAAAAATATATCACTCACAATACCGAAAACACAATCGTCAGAGATACCCGGAAAACACAACAATCATAGATATCCGGAAATACTACAAATAACAAGAAATTTTGATAAAACAGAATACCTCTTCATATACGAAAACTTAAAAGAACACACTGCCACCATTAGAACTCACGCGTTGCCGTATGCGCTGCTGCCAGAAATCACTAAAATACCTCCTTTCAGCCGAAAATCACCACAAAACCCACCAAACAACTGAAATCAAGAAGAGGCTCGCAAAAACACCCCAAATCGCACCGAAAAATTCCAAAAAACTTCTTGTCGCGTGATATGCTCTGCCGCAATTTTTCTCCGCTCCGGCCTCCTAATTTCTTGCTCAGAACAGCCCGGTCAAGCGTCTCTTCACATCTTGACCTCGTGTCGAACTCGACCCGCATGCGAATCGGTCTTCTCCGGTTCACCCGACGTGTGAGAACTCAAACTGCCGAAAAAATGACTTCCTCCGCCTCTTTTGTGTGCACCATCGTGCCGACCGCAATCTGAACTAGTCGGAGAATAGTGGTCAACTTCATCTGGCGCCGAGAATGGGTTGTTCAACCCTTATTTGGTTTAACTCTTAAAAACCCTAACGCTAACTCTATCTCTGATACCATGTAAAGAGATAGGGAAGAAAAATACTGAATAATTCTTATATTTTTATTGAAATAAAAGTCGGGATATATATACCTGTAAACAGATTCATATATAATAACCAACATAAATTATCCTAATTATTTTCTTTCTAACGACGCGTATACATTTAGAAAGATAATCGTACCATTATGTATAAGAAATATTTTATAATATTCTAACAAATCAAGGATGATTATTTGGTGGGTGCGGGAAGGAAAAGAATTACACACTAAAATTCAAACTGAAAGAAACAAAGAAAAAAAGCATGAAAAAACAGAAAATGATAAAAATTTCACGAACTCGTAATTCAGATAAGGATCCCCGCAGAATTCATTGTACCCTGTTTCCAACTTCTTCCATATATAATGAAAAGGCATGACAAAAAAAAATGAGACCTACCCAGGGCTGAATAGGGAAGGCAATATCAACCCAAATAATCAGGTGTAACTTAGTATTGCCGTTATATGATCTTATCCTTCTGTATTGAAGGTATACTATACTAACAAAATATAACCAATTGAAGTGGAAATCTATTGTTAAGGCATAAGTATTGATATTGTTGCTTGATAAAAGATATTAGAATCGATCGGGATGTAACTTACAAGTCCTCTAGATGTAATAAACTTGTTTCTGTTTCTCTTAATATGACTACATAAATGCTCCTTGTTCAACTATGCTGACTTTGGCTTTCAAGGAACGTTGAAGCATCGCAATATTAACAAGTTTTGCTCTTTAGGCACCTAGCAACTCACTAGGTTGACCAAAGAGCACTGCTCCTCTTTTATACCATTCGAAATATAATATTTTTAAAGAATAACCCTGTGTAATCGATTTACCAATTTATCATGAGAGTGCCAAGCACAAAACCTTGTATGAACAATAAGCATAACAATTAGTCTGAAAGTTAAGGTTTCATACTGCTCACAGAAGCCACTTGAAAAATTATGGCAACACTGCAACAATAGGCAGAGTGAGGCAGATGATGAGTAGTAGCACTTATTCATGGGGCCAGGATGGGTATATAATGATTCACCCACTCCAAGAATGGAATGAGTACAGGCAAAGAGGTTTATTGCTAGCTTAGAATTTTACTTCTTGTTTACTAGAAGCCTTATCTTATTGTTCTTGTTTTATTTAAGAACTCTGGTCCTCTTAAGTTTCACCCTGTAAATAAATGGGTGATTCATTATTGAACAGACTGCTTATGATGAAAACTACTTAATTTCTTCCTATTGAATTGAGTGCATGACAACCCTATGATTATAGTTGCTGCCAGTTCATGTCATTGTGGATTAGATTTATCCTTCTTTTCTTCAATTTTTTAATTTTCATAAACATTTTACTATATCACTTGGTACCAAAGCTAAAGTTCTTGACTTGGGTATGAATCCACTACCACAAGAAAAACTCAAAATTTCCAAATCGCCAAAAATAGAAAAAGCTAATAAGCTGAGAATGAAAAACTAAGGAAACAGAACTGAGAACACAAGCAAACAACCATTTTCGGTGTCCTCTAGAAATCCGACCAACAGGTGGTCAACACTGCCCTTGCCACTGGCTCCAAAAGATCCCAACTGGCATCCCCTCCAATTTTCAGCACCATCATCACCAAAATGTGTCACACTCTCTGCTTGAAGACTCAACTGTGGTTGCCTTATGGAAACTTATCTTTTCCAATCATGTCGACAACAACTGATACCAAAACTGGAACCAGCATCTCCAGAGGAATCCATAGCCAGAAGGCTGACATCAAAAGATCATTGGACACCAGTGGGTGACCACCACAAGTTGATCACCATG